TATAAGAAATTAGGCATGCATTGTATATCACTGTATACCTATGTTTTCAGCTGTATATCATTGTTTACCTATGTCTACTAGTCTTTATCACTGTATTGTCAAAGTTTATCAGTGTTTAGCCATGGTTACCACTGTATATCTTTGTTTACTTATGTTTACCTGTGTTTAGCACTGTAAATCACTGTCGGCCCATGTTTAACACTGTATATCTTTGTTTACTTATGTTTACCTGTGTTTAACACTGTAAATCACTGTTGACCCATGTTTACCACTGTATATCTTTGTTTACTTATGTTTACTTGTGTTTAACACTGTAAATCACTGTTGACCCATGTTTACCACTGTATATCATATGTATATACATGTATGTATTTAGCTACCTATGTTTATTAATGTTAGCCACAGTTTCAATGCTTATCAATGAGGTTTACTGTTGTTTTCCCATTTGTATGTTTTAATCATCCTTACCATACTTAATAATAGCTCTTTTAACCATTGATGTTTACCATGATGACAGTAAACTCAAGAGTTTGGATACATCATTGGTCTTAAATCAAGCCTCATATGGAGACATATCATGGGCTAGCTTAAGTGGCCATGCACACATCATAATTCATTATTATGTTTATGAAAACCTCTTAGGTTTTCTGTTTTTCCTTATGTAGTTTTCAGTTTCTTGTTATCATGCATAACTGGTTGTTAGTATTGTCAAGCATGAATGTGCTTTAGTTATTACAGTAATTGTTTTGAGTTATGAATATACCAAAACTATATAATGAGAACATGTTTGCTTTAACTATATGTAATACATTTTACTAATAGACAGTACATGATAATCAACTAAAAAGTAGTGTCAATATTAGGATCACTATAATTATTGTTTCTACATGAAATTAGTGTTTAATTGTTTGGCATGATTCAATCATCATTTCGTATCATCAGCTTCACACTACAAATACAAAAAGCTGCAATAGTTAACAAAGTACCAACACCAGAACATATCTAGATTAGGACAATAGAATTAATAGCTTGTCTGTTTAATTACTTACAGCAGCTGCTATGAATTCTGCACCATTTGGTGGATAAGGTCCAAGTTCAGTGAAATCATAGCGAGAGATAATAGTAGTATATTGTGGTCCAGTGCAATCAAATCTAATGAAAGAACCAGATCCTGTTATAAAATGATCATAGTCATTGTGTGTAGCACAGGTCTTTGCCCAACCAGCTGAAACCACCACTGTGGTATTCAATAGGGACAAAATAGAACCAACAAAGAGTCCAACTTGAATAATCCCAGCAACCAACCTGAAATGAATAAAATTAGTTAAATTAAATGTAGATCGACCACTGAAGTACTGAACTTACTTTTTTGCATTTATTTTAAGTAAAACAGTGATTAGCTCAATGGCAGTTAGCAGAGCCAGACATATTGTAGCAATGGTAGCACTTGCTATACTCAACTTACAAGTGGGTACATTATAATTTACCAGACTTTGATCTTTAAGTTGAGATTCAGTGATAAAAAAAGAGCATGATACCCCATTATTAGTGTTAGCCTGAAGGAGACCAAGAGAAGTACCAGCAGCTCCCAATGACACTAGAAGTATCACAAAAGTGACTAAGGAAAGGGCCTGGTTATTATTTTCAGTGCTTGGCATGATGTATGAGCTAAGCTTGCTACTTGTGAGACATACAGTTATTAAATCATTCCTTTATATACATGTCAAGCCCAATGGCCACACCTTCACTGAAAATGCTAAAACTAGAAGAGCAGTAGTAAAGAAGTGTCAGAGTGAAACTTGCTACACAACAAAGAACATGTATATGTAATTATGTATCTAAAAATTATTAAAATTGAGAATTCTCTCATAGTCAGTTTTGGCAAAATTTGGCCAAAGACAATAATAATGCACCCACGATTTTGGAGCAACTTTATATAAAATTCAATTTTTATTAGAATCAGATGAAAATTTCCATACAGCACACGAACATGCATATGTTTTATACTACATTTATGTTACAGAATTGGGCCAAACTGTACTAACCATGCTGGCCTGGTTTGGCGCAGCTCACTTCATGAACCTGCATGAGGACTGTGCTTAAATTCTGTGGGAAACCCTGTATATGCATGCTAAACATTAAATATCATTGGGCTAAATATTTCAAAAAATAAGAGTCTCTAAACTTGTTCTTATATAGTTAGCTATAGCTATTGCTCAGTTCTTGGAAATAAGAGTTCCGTATTCATCATCATCAGACCTCATCTGCTTCACAATAAAGAAACCAAGAGCTCCAAAAGTTAACACAGCACCAACACCAGCACATACCTATCAAGAGAGTAATTATTAGCTATTAGCTTAACTGTTTGACTTACAGCAGCTGCTATGAATTCTGCACCATTTGGTTCAATTATATATGCTTGTAGCTTTCCAGTGCATTGAAAGCTAAAGTCTGTACTAGGTTGAGTGGTTGTCATGTTTTTGAATGTGGCACATGTTTGGCTCCAACCAGCTGCAACCACCACTGTGGTAATGAATAGGAACAAAATAGAAACAGCAAAGAATCCAATTTGGAGAATCTTGGCAACCAACCTGAAATAGGCTATAACAATAAGTGCAAGTAATTAAATTATTATCAAACTTACGTTTTGATATTTGTCTGATATAAAACACTGATTAGCTCAATGGCAGTTAGCAGAGCCAGGCATGTTGTAGCAATGGCAGCACTTGCTATACTCAACTTACAAGTGGGCATGTTAAATGTCGGGCCTGCATCATCAGCTATAACTTGAGAATAAGTAAGGAAAAAGAAGCACAACATCCCATTATTAGTGTTAGCCTGAATGAGACCAAGAGAAGTACTAGCAGCTCCCAATGACAATAGAAGTATCACAAAATGAGCTAGTGAAAGGACCTGCTTGGCTGCACTAGGCATGTTACAAGCTATTTGGAATTTGCTTATGAGTATAGAGTCTAGTATGCTGCAGTTGTCAAAAAAATTATTCCTTTATATTTCACATCAGTGTTTATACATGCAGTCCAGCTCATAGGAATAAAGACCTGTCTGTATAACATTACATGCAGCCTAATGGTCAGGTGGGGCCAGAGGCTGGCTTAAAAGGGTCAAGCCCAGTGAACTACCCCATTGTTATTATTAGCTAATTACTGATTTTACAGGAACCAGTATTAAGCCCGACATACAATGAGCAACTTTGTTGCTGGCAACTTGTAGTCAGACTTTGATGTAGTTGAGGAGCACTGGGCAACATGTTGCAAAAAGTAGAGACTGAACTTCTGGCAACAAATTGCCTCAACACATCAAAAGCACTCGCAACAAAGTTGCTCAGTGTATGTTGGGCTTAAGATATTTCAATTACATTTGATACTAAAGTATTGCAAAACTATATGTATAAGTTCATAGACTGTAAGATGAATCCTATTAATGTCTATCAGGCAGAGTGTGTGCATCAATGTTATACGGGTGATAAATGATAATTCATTTTTATCAGTTTATATTATGGCAAATATTTAAAAAATTATTAGTAAATCTCCAATAGTAAGGGACCGGTTTAGTTTATTATAGTTTGCATATTATAGTAGTGAATATTGGCTCATTTGTATCATACTTTTTATATGACTGGTACACAATTATTAGAAAGCAGGAAGTGTATGAATACTGGTAATTGTTTTGTAAGGCTGCCAAGTGAGAGTTATTACAGTAGGCCCATACTCTTTCTTTTAAATTGTACTTGAAAGGATGCAAGTAGGCAGTTCCCTAAAGAGAAATAGCCAGCCTTACTGGTAATGTGGCTTCTCAATAAAAGACCATACATAACGATACAATAGAACAATGTGATGATGGTACATACATGTACATAAGAGATGAGAGATCAAAGGAATATTAATACTATTGCCTCATATGCTATACATGTATACATGCGCTATATAGACCTTTTTGAATTTGTTTGCTGAAGGAATAAAAATCATGCACAACCATTTTTGATGAGGCAACTATTTGAGCAGTCTTTGCATATTTGTATGTTTGCTTCAATTAACTGATACTATGATAAATAATAATTAATTATCTTTCAAATAGGATAATCAATATAGCTGGTATACACACTGGATTCTCCAAGATACTGACTGAAGGACAGTGAGCTATTGATTGTATAATCACTCTTAAGGGTTTCATTACTCGATTAACAAGTGAGTGGTTTTCACTAATTGTCATGTACCAATATGTATTAGCTATACCTTTCTATAGTTTATGAGCACTATATAATTGCTATAATTTTACTATGGGAATCATACAATAATCACTTGTGCATTGCAATTATTAGACTTAGTATGTGCCTTAAAAAATAACTAAGAGTTGAAATTGCAATATTTTGTACCAATAATTAAAAGCTACATGCAATTTTTGTAGTTTTACTGGTTTATTGAAATGGTGCTTTCACTTTTTTGTTGCTGAATAAAATTTGTACGTAAAAGTACAATAAGAATTATGTCTCAATGCTGCAGACATCACACGCAGTTAGCTAAACATGCTCTTAGTATTTTTGAACTATAATTACCCTGTACTATTATAGCCCATGCTTTTTTGCAAAAAATGGCTAAAAAATGACCCACATTTTTATTACATTTTTTGATACATATTGATGTCCTTATGCTATGTAGCAAGTTTGAGCTGATTCCGACATAAATTTTTCAAGTTATAGCCATTTTTACGAATATGCAAAAATCTGAAAATTACCCTGTACTATAGCCCTTGCTTTTTTGAAAAAATAGTTTTAAAATGACCCCAATTTTTTTTACATTTTCTAATACATATTGATGTCCTTATGCTATGTAGAAAGGTGACTTTTTTGAGTTATGGCCATTTAAAAAAAATGTCAAAATCTAAAAAATTCCCTTTGCTATATAATATAGCCTATGCTTATTTTTTGAAAAATGGCTCCAAAATCATTCCTAATTTTCATTACATTTTTGATGTCCTTATACACATGTATTTCTACAGCAAATTAATAAGTTTTGGCCATTTAAAACTTTTGCTGAATCAGAAAAATACTAAATAATAGATTCTAAAAATTTCTAGAAAAGAAACATCATACCCCATTATTAGTGCTAGCCTGAATGAGACCAAGAGACAATAGAAGTATTTGTTGCCTTGGTAATGATTTTATTGTGTGCACTTTTGGTACAAATTCTTACAACCAGAGAAAGCATGTAATCATAATATAAAGTAAAAGCTGAGCAGACACAAACAGAAACTTACAAAAAGTCATCACAAATAGTGCAAGTGTATATCGTAACCACTTTTGCATATAAGAATGAAGTATAATATGAAGTAAAACCAGAGTGTGCAAAAATACAAACTTAAAAGTCATAAAACAAAAGAAAATAATTGTGATAAACAACTTTAAACTAAAGCAATGGTATTGGTTAATAGTTTAATTTCACTGATTTAATTGGGCACTAAAATGGTATGCTCCTATACATACTCGTACATTAATTTAGTGTTACCTACGTTACAGCAAGTTACTGTAAGTTAGGCTGTAATTACATGTACTTATGACTACTGTATACAGTATAACTACCTGCATATTTTTGTTTTGTGCTATTAGTTTTAAATTATTAATCATACTTTGAAAAAGTAATCAAAACCAAAATTATTAACTATAATTCTGTATTTATTTAATGCACTAGCAAGGAAAGCTGTCATGCACTTAGATGGTTAGTACACTACATTGCATGTCAATTAAAGTCCATTTGTGTTCACCTGAGTCCTTGTTTTCTTGCTATAACTTTTGACTTACAAGTTCTATTGTAAAAATAAACATACCAGTGCATTCCTCTCCTTTTGCTGCCTCTATTGTATTACTTAAGAAGCAGCTTTAGCTCTTTAACTCCAAGTTGGTTGTATAACCCATGCAGAAAGTACAGCCATACTTTTCACAATATTATTGCATTGTGTTAATAATTATTGGGTGGGGTTTCTAATCACTTCCTGGGCACAGGTAAATGCAAATGGACTATAGTTGTTTTGCATGCATATTGAAATTAGGGAATTTGTCGGGATTTTTCCCAAGCTGTTTTGATTGTGTTGTTGCATAGATCCATGGGCTAGCTTAAGTGGCCATGCACACATCATAATTCATTATTATGTTTATGACAACCTCTTAGGTTTTCTGTTTTTCCTTATGTAGTTTTCAGTTTCTTGTTATCATGCATAACTGGTTGTTAGTATTGTCAAGCATGAATGTGCTTTAGTTATTACAGTAATTGTTTTGAGTTATGAATATACCAAAACTATATAATGAGAACATGTTTGCTTTAACTATATGTAATACATTTTACTAATAGACAGTACATGATAATCAACTAAAAAGTAGTGTCAATATTAGGATCACTATAATTATTGTTTCTACATGAAATTAGTGTTTAATTGTTTGGCATGATTCAATCATCATTTCGTATCATCAGCTTCACACTACAAATACAAAAAGCTGCAATAGTTAACAAAGTACCAACACCAGAACATATCTAGATTAGGACAATAGAATTAATAGCTTGTCTGTTTAATTACTTACAGCAGCTGCTATGAATTCTGCACCATTTGGTGGATAAGGTCCAAGTTCA